TACCCAGGCCAGTCAGCTGCAAGGATTGTCAGTGACCACTTACCACCACCCTCCACTGTCCATGGAAGATCAGCTGTGCAGGGGTAGGGTGGTGGTTCTCCGAAGTGGTCTATAACTGTCCACTGGGCACGCTGACCCTGGGGATTCCCAGGTGGTGCAGACCAAGCTCAGCCCCAGTCTGTGTTTTGTCCAGGGCCACCCTGCCTGAGCTATAAGGCAATCTGAGGTAGGTGCTACTTGTGCTGGGCTTGGAGATTCCCAGGCAAAGCCAAGCAGTGAGACTAGGCTGGCTGCTACTAGTGCCAAGCCTGGGACTAACTGAGGCCAGCTGTTGCTTATTTGAGAGGATTTAGGAAGTTGTGCAGTATGAGCCAAGACCAACCATTTATTTGGAAAAGCAGCTTGGGTGGGTCTGTAAGTTGGAAGGGTGGAGTCTCTGGAAATCTCCAAGGCAGGTCAAACAGTGTTAGCAAGGCTGATGGGGTCTCAGATATGGCACCAGCTTGCCAGCTCTGTGGGATGAGGGTTTAAAAAGGGAGAATGACCTCTGCTCACCTTGATGCCAGATACTTCAATTTCTCCTTGTACACCACTGGTGCCTTTCAAGCTGCTACCCTGGTGCTGGAGCTCAGAGGGAGTTAGTCTGGGTAGAAGAGTCCATGTGTGGGTTCTTTAAGAGGATCTGCTTGGGAATTAAGAAGTTTCTTCCAGTTACTCAATCCCAGCTGATTTTGCAGCCAGAAGTTTTGGAGACTTATTTTCCTGGCACTGGAAACCCAGGCTTGGGGACTTGGTATGAGGCTGGGACTCCTTGTTCCTGAGATATCTCTCCCATATTTTTATCCACAACATGTGAGTGAGGGACCAGCCTATTCCACATCTCCATTCCTTCCTACCAGGCTGGATGGATGTGGTTTCTTTAATTCTGTAGTAGATAGACTTCCATTCAATTCGATTTCTGATGGTTCTGAGTGACGGTTGTTCTATATTTTAGTTGTAATTCTGATGTGGCTGTGCAAAGAGGCAAACCATATCTGCCTATGTCACCATCTTTATTGGAAGTTCCTAGACTTTTTTAAGTGAGAGGAACGAAATAACTCAAAGTCATTGTTGCCAGCAGTCCAGCATCAGTCCTAACTGAGAAAGTGCCTGGGAACATTACTAATTAAGCAGTGAGCCTTAGTTTCTTCATTTGTAAACTGATGGGGTCCTATCAGATCACTCCTCCATTTCTGAAACTCTACAACTTCAAGATTCTACACAAGTGCACAAGTACAAAATCCCCAAGGCTTGTCTGGTATCTGTTCTATCTTGGCCTTCTGGGCAAATTTGAAAGCATGCACATCCTTAGGCAGAAGGCAAAGTGATTATGAACATAGAGTTTCCACATGACCCAGCAATTCTACTCTGGAGTATATATCCAGGACGAATAAGAGCATATATACACATACAACTGAATGTTCATAGCAGCATTATTCTTAATAGCTAAAAAGTGGAAACAAACCAAAGGCCCATGAATTGATGAATGAACAAAATGTGGTATATGCATACAATAGAATTTATTTTTCCATAAAAAGGAATGAAATACTGCGACATGCTACAACATGGATGGCCCTTGAAAACACTATGCTAAGTATGAAAAGGCAGACACAAAAGACCACATATTGTATGATTCCATTTATCGAAATGTTCAGAATAGGCAAATCTATGAAGACAGAAAGAATAGTGGTTGCCAGGGCTTGGAGAGACAGGAGAATGGTGAAGGACTGCCAATGGCTATGGGGTTTCTTTTTTTCGGTGATGAAAATGTTCTGGAATTATATAGTGGTGACATTTGCACAATCTATGAATATACTAGAACCCACTGACCTGGTAAATTTTATTATATGTGACTTATATCTCAATTAAAAGAAAAAGAAGAAATGATTTCAAGCATTTTGAGTGAAGTGGACTGCACCAAGATAAGCTTCTCTGGGTGTGTGTTAGCAGTGTGCCTGAAGAAAAACACAGGGATAAGGGCACTGGGGGGAAAGCCTCTAAGGAAGGGTGTGAGTGAGTCTGTTTCCAAGGAATGGCTCCAATCTGAGGCACATTTATAAGAGTGTGAATTCACAGTTGAATATCTTATACACTGGAACAAATCAGCATTATAATAATTGTTAACTAATTTTGTGTAGTATACAAATCACACCTTAACTAAAATGGATGTAAAATGTATGTAAAGGTTGGACTCCAAAGAATTTTCATTAGCTTCCTACTCATTTTCACAATAACCACCCACTGACAGAATATTCTTCTGTCACCCGTGATTGCACTGTGAACATTGTGTCAGTGGTGTTTTACAACCAGGAAATTCCGCATCACCTGTCAAACAGTGACTTCTTTAGACACAGAAGCCTTGGCATTTCATCTGTGTTCAGCCCCTACAGAGAGGTTGAGTTGTGGACTAAGGACAACTGTGGGTTTTTCCTTAAAACCAGGAAATTTCTTTTTCCTGCTTCATAATCCTCATGTGGCCTTGTATAAAATAGGACCTGAGATAGGCAGCTGTAGAGAAAAGAATACTGGGTCGAAGATCTGATTTTCTCAGAAAGAGTTCTGTGATCTTAGAAGTCTCTGACACTCAGTCTCCTTATTACAAAGTAATGCAGTCAAACTAGATGATCTCTTAGGGTTACTTTTAATTCAAATTTTTATTAATCTAGCACACTGTTAGTGATGAAGTGGGAAATCTAACATAATCTTAGATTATCTCTGGGGCTGATGGTAGAGGTGCAGACAAATTTGGAACACATCAGGGAAACTGCTTCTCAGACTTTTGGGATGCCTCAAATGACTCCAACTTCTGAATCCTACATCACATCTGACATCCCAGTGGGTCTTGTAATTTGGGAACTGTGCCTACTCAGAAGTGAATATCCTCCTGATGGCACATCAGGGAGACAGAACAGTTCCTTTGTAGAGTATTGAAAGCACACACATACAACCAACACCACCAAATCCCATCACACAATGGTAATGTAACAGAGGAAGCTGATAGAAAAAGTATCTCTTAGTCCAAGTATTAGTCTGTGCATTTTCCTGCTTTTGAAGTGTTTCCCCAAGTATGTATTTCATGTGCATATTGATATTATACAAGTGTACTTTTCAAGCTTTTTCCTGGAGCATCTGCTTGACTGATCAGTCTGGCACCCAGTCCTCTAATCATGCTTAAGCTCTAGCAGTGTGCAGTCGTGCGTGTGCTGACAGGCTAGCAGGCTAGCCTGCTGTGTGCCTACCTATCATCTTCTCACAAGGTGGAAAAGAGAAGCACGATACTTACAGTATGCCAAGAGGCACCTTGCAGCAATCTCTCTCTTCTCCAAAGTGACTGATCATGTGTCTGACAGGTTGGTTGTGGCAAATGCATGGCCAAGGGTAGATCCAGGGGGCCCTGGCAGCTGACCCAAGGCTTCAGGGCATTTAAAACCAATGCTACACTTCAATTAGGTTGTTGGAAGCTTTACACTTGCTCAGTAGAAATGGAACCTGCCAGTTCAGTGTCAAATATGGAAAACTGAAACAGAAGCCACTGGCTCCTGTCTTGTTTGACCCTACTCATCAGTAGGTCTAATTTTAATGATATGTAATACTTGTGAAGTGAACTGCTCTTTTTCATTTATGGGGGCAATTCTGGTAGAATTAACTTATTTTCATACCATTTAGAATGACACTGCTCACTTTTCTTTGAAACTGTTTTCAAATATACATGTCTCTTTAATATGGAAATTGCTATTCACACTTCATCTTTCTTTTTCATTTTTTTCCTTTAAACACTTAAGAGTAGAACCAAGTGGAATGAAATACAGGGTACGATTTAAAGTAGTATTATTTTTTCTAATTTTGAATTTGAATTAGAAAACCATAAACCTCATTTTCTTGATTGTTTCCTTCCCATAGGGTATGTGAGTCTTGTGCAGTTGTTAGTCACTTACACTCCTTTTCTCTTCCCAGGGGAGAAATGAGTAGCCCAGATGAAGACAGTGCTTTGGCACTGTTCTGACAGAGTGTAACTTATCCCGTAAGAAGCATGTGCTAGTGACTGAACACATGTGGAAATCCCATGGCTTCTTTAGTGGTTGAGTTCAAGTCTAGAAGCAGGTTTTGGTTCGAGCCCAAATCCCAGCTCTGCATGGTAAGAATGCAAAAAAATGTAAAAATTATGACTTGCCTATTTAAAGTAAAATTCTCCAGTAATGCAGAATTCATACTTACCTAGAAATTCAAATGCAGTTAAATACAAATATTTTGTTATGTAGTACAAATATTAAGTGCTGGGAAGAAAGGTTGTTTGAAAATTTTAGCATATTATGTATTTATAAACCTATGACTATTCCTAAGCTCAGGTGATATCATCAACTTTAAAAGGCATAGTATCATATACTGTTTGACAGAAATTTCCAGTTGGAGAAATTTATAGGATAGCTATTCTCATATAGACAATATTATGTGCACAAAATTATTTGTTGTGGCACTATAAAAAAAGTATAAACAATCTACATGTCCATTGGTAGAAACTGGTTTAATAAAATATGGTACAACTACATAATGGATACTATGTATCATTTAAATGAGAGAAGCTCTCTGTTCTAAAGGTATACTGTTTAGTAAAAAAAAAAAAAGAGGCAGCCGATTATTACTAGTATCATAATGTGTGTGAAGAAAGAAAAAGAGAATCTACACACATGTGAAGTGTATGGAGTATTTCTACAAGGATGCAAGGAAAAGACAACAGCACTAACAATGTCGCCTCCGGGGCAGAAACTACACCGAAGGGCACAAAAGGAAATGAGACTTACTTTCCACTCTTTCACTCCTTTATAATTTTGTGCTGTGTGGATATAGTAAATATTCCAAAAATTTTTTTGTAAAGGAAATAGAGATATAATAGGATTTCTACATGAAAATACATTTAGTATACTTCCAGGTACACATCCTTTCAACTAATTAAATAGTTACTTAAAGGCATTTTAACATTTGGATTGATCTCCCATCTTAAATCGGGTATGATTGTGGTTGGTTCAGTTTTACTACACTGAAAGAGTAAATTCATTTTAACTTTTAAGAATTTAATACAATGTGTTCTGATAGCTACATTTAAATTAATAACAAAGAACTCAATAAAGAGGAGACAGAAGAGGACCATTAGGACACAAACTTTTATGTGATTTTAGCCATTACAACAGTAGTTCAGATATATCTCAAATGTTACATTGATGTCATCAGTGTTACAAAAAGAAAAAAGAATGACAGGCAACAGTGAAGAGCACCAGAGGACCAGCGCACACACCTAGAGCAGACCATGCGTCTTTCCTTCAACTGCCAAAATTATTTTCACCAGGAACCCCCCTCCCCCTTGCTTTTCTTCTCAACTTTCCCTAACCCATGTTAAATTGCAAACTTAAGCCTCATCCTCGCCTTCCTCCTCCTCGAACTCCCCCTGTTCGTCGGCCGTGGCATCCTGGTACTGCTGGTACTCAGACACCAGGTCGTTCATGTTGCTCTCGGCCTCCGTGAACTCCATCTCATCCATGCCCTCGCCCGTGTACCAGTGCAGGAAGGCCTTGCGCCGGGAACATGGCCGTGAACTGCTCCGAGATGCGCTTGAACAGCTCCTGGATGGCCGTGCTGTTGCCGATGAAGGTGGCCGACATCTTCAGGCCCCGAGGAGGGATGTCGCACACGGCCGTCTTCACATTGTTGGGGATCCACTCCACGAAGTAGCTGCTGTTCTTGTTCTGCACGTTGAGCATCTGCTCGTCCACCTCCTTCATGGACATGCGGCCCCGGAAGATAGCGGCCACCGTCAGGTAGCGGCCGTGGCGGGGGTCGCAGGCAGCCATCATGTTCTTGGAGTCGAACATCTGCTGGGTGAGCTCAGGCACTGTCAGGGCCCGGTACTGCTGGCTACCCCGGCTGGTCAGGGGGGCGAAGCCGGGCATGAAGAAGTGCAGGCGGGGGAAGGGCACCATGTTGACAGCCAGCTTGCGCAGGTCTGCGTTCAGCTGGCCTGGGAAGCGCAGGCAGGTGGTGACACCGCTCATGGTGGCTGACACCAGGTGGTTGAGGTCTCCATATGTGGGGGTGGTCAGTTTCAGGGTGCGGAAGCAGATGTCATACAGGGCCTCGTTGTCAATACAGTAGGTTTCATCTGTGTTTTCCACCAGCTGGTGGACAGACAGGGTGGCGTTGTAGGGCTCCACCACCGTGTCGGACACCTTAGGTGAGGGCATCACACTGAAGGTGTTCATGATGCGGTCTGGATACTCCTCCCGGATCTTGCTGATGAGCAGGGTGCCCATCCCCGAGCCTGTGCCACCCCCCAGCGAGTGGGTCAGCTGGAAGCCCTGCAGACAGTCACAGCTTTCTGACTCCTTCCTCACCACGTCCAGGACTGAGTCTACCAGTTCAGCACCCTCTGTGTAGTGGCCCTTTGCCCAGTTGTTCCCGGCCCCGCTCTGGCCTGCCAGAAGGAAAGATATTTAATAAGTCACTTACGATTCAATTAAATTCCTTTACCAGAAACCCCTTAACCAATGAGTTGGTGTTCAGATAAGATTAATTTAGGTTATCACCAAAAGGGACAGACATTAAAATATTTGGTCATGGATATAATTATAAATAAGGAAGGCTAGGAATACCTGGCTATTAGAAGATGAAGGGCAAATTTATTTCAGCTTATTTTAGGATTCAATCAGCACACAACTGGATGTTCATCATACTTGTCCCTAGGCCGTCACATCCCTCCATGCTGAGCTGTCTGCTGTAAAGTAAGCCTCCCATGCCATTAACCATAGCAGTCACTCACCAAACACGAAGTTGTCAGGCCTGAAGATCTGGCCGAATGGTCCAGACCTGACCGAGTCCATGGTGCCTGGCTCCAGATCCACCAGGATGGCCCGAGGTACATACTTGTTACCTGCAGGGAACAGAGCTGGACTTAGACCTATCTGTGGAGAACACTGAAGAGAAGGGTGTGGTAGGAGCTTCCTTTTCACAGGCATTGCTGTTGATCCCCAAACAAAGGCAGGAGCAAGACCCACCAAATTCTCAAAGGATTCATTATTTTGTGAACCAGGAAATACCACAGTGAAGAGTGTGAACCCAAAATCCTTTAGTTCCCCCTCCCTTGGGGCCAGACTCCCTAGGTCAGCTCCCTGGGAAAGAGAGAGAGAGAGAGAGAGAGACAGAGACAGAGACAGAGAGACAGAGAGACAGGGAGAGAGAGAGAGAGAGAGAGGGAGAGAGAGAGAGAGAGAGAGAGAGAGAGAGAGAGAGAAACCCAAAACCTAGAGGTAGGGGGAAGTAAAGGCAATTACCAGTGGCTTCATTGTAGTACACGTTGATTCTCTCCAGCTGCAAGTCACTGTCTCCATGGTAACTGCCAGTGGGGTCGATCCCATGCTCATCACTGATGACCTCCCAAAACTGAGACATAGTAAACGGTTGTATTTAGCCACGCCCAACCCTCCGAGTGGCCGGGACTCAAAGTGAATAGACCCCAGACTCAACAACCCAACCTTCCAGGGACTTTAGGTCTGAGTGGCCATCCACAGCCGCAGGACTTCTATTTTGCAGGGGCAAAACATGGAAATCAGGCGTTTCTTCGGCGAACAGCTGCTCGCGGCGGGAGGTGGGGGTCTTTGGGGGCTGGGGAAGGGAACAGCAACCGAACCGCCCGCACCAGCGGTCACAGCTACCCGCGCCCGCGGCGCTGGGACTGCAGTCAATACGCAGGGGGTGGGCGGGGGAACAGGGACCCGAAGAACCTGAAGGAAGGTGGTTTTAGATTCAAAGCACGTCCTGAGACCTCCAGACAATCGCTATCCTCCCCGCCCCCAGCTGCTCTACTCCGGTTCAAGCGAGTATAATCAATTCTCCCTGCGTCCCACGCCTCGCAAACCCGCGCGCACAGTCTACAAGACAAAACGGCGCCTTTTCCAGGTCCGCGTTTTTGGCTAAGGGAAGATCCGGGAGCAAGAGGAGTGAACGGGATTCCAAATGAGTTACAGCAAAAATGAGAGGTTTCTCCCCCTTACTCAGGGACGTCGCCTCCAAGCCCACGCCCTACTGCACAAAGCACCCAGGAAGGTCTGTGCTTGGAGAGCCCCGAGCCTGCTCAGGATTCCATTAGTGCCCAGAAACTCGAAAGAGCTTTAGGCCCTGGTCCTCCCCGACCCCAGCCCAGTCCCCAGAACGCTCACCTTGGCGCCGATCTGGTTGCCACATTGGCCCGCCTGGATGTGCACGATCTCACGCATGGTTCTAACTAGCTTCTTCTGAGCCCGGTCGGCGTCTGGTCAGTCTGTTCGTCCTACCTTACGAAGCTACTGCGGAGTCACGAGGAAAGCGCTTGGGAACCGACGTGGCTAAGGGCGACGGCTCAGCAGGCTCTGCCTTTTATGCAAGAAGGGCGGGGCGGCCCGCGCAGGCCGCGCCCCCTGCCCGAGCCCCCCAGTCCCCTTTGCGCTAACACTCTCCAGGCCCGGCTGACGTAAGGCTTCGAGCCCCCGGGACTGTCCAGGGGGCTGGACCATAGGCCGGTAGCCAATCAGCACGCGTTTGCAGACCGGGCGAGGAATGGGGGCTCTGCAGAGTTGGGTGGGGGCCTGCGCATTGTCTAGTGCTGAGGGTGGGGTGGGGTGGTAGTGAGAAATAGGGGTGGATGAAGGAACCGAGGGTGTCGAGGCGAGGGTGCAGAGTGTGGCAGGCTGGGAATGGGGGAAGAGCTGGCGCTGGGTGGGGGAAGGGGCTCCAGGGGACTGGTGCAGGTGGAGAGGCGGTCAGGTGCGCTGGAAAGGAGCGCTCTACGCTCCGATTGCTGGCAGGTTGAGGTGACGAAGGATGTGCTGCCACTGCAGATTGGGGCGCCTCCTCCGCCAAGCGCCAGAAATCCGTAAACCGCGCACCCCTGGTGAGACCAGTGCTCCTTTCCCCAACCGTAGTGGTCAATGCCAGTCCAGTGCCCGAACTCTTGTCTCACAGAGCCTTGAGACTGGACGGACAGGCGGTTGCAATAGGAAGTCGTGTGTGCTTAGGCTGCTGGAGTCGAAGAGCCGTGACTCTGGACACTCGAGGACGAGGGCGTAGAACCCCAGAGTGCCCTCGGCCCCGCCCCCCGCATCCACCTGCTCTCTTTGTCTCTGACTAGGGCCTTTTACGCGTTTTCACAGTGGCTGAAGCATCTAGGGCTGGGGAGACCCTCTATGGCCTCTCCAGCCCTCCTCGACCCTCTCCAATAACCACAGCTCCTAGGCTAGTACTACAGACTCCTGCACCCCCCGGGTTGGCTTTTGTTCCTTGGGAGAGAATGGGGTGGATGAGCTGGCCACACAGTCTGGACTGTCCAGCAGTCAGAACGAGGGTGGGGTCCAGGGGCGGGGCTAAGGTAGAACAAAGGGTTCATAAGTGCGTGGGATGCCTCCCACAATTATTAAAAATATCAACCCCAGGCACTTCCCAGGTCTGGTTTTTGTTCATCTATTGTCCAGAATGGGCATGAGTTCCAAGGGTGCATTGCCCGCCCCATCGTTGACATTCTCATCTTCGTTCAGGCTCCGGACCCCACAGTGGCCACGAGGTCCCCAACCTTTGGGCAGATAATGGGAGTGAGGGACACGCCTAAAAACTGCGGCACCGGCGAGACCCCAACGAGCACAGAGTGCGTTCGCAGACTCAGAACACACACCTTCCTTCAAACCTACAGTTTCTAAGTAGTCAAAGAAGGAGCTTTTCTCTTTATTGAGAGAGAGAGAGAGAGAGAGAGAGAGAGAGAGAGAGAGAGAGAGAGAGAGAGAGAGAGAGAGAGAGAAGCTGAACCTGAACCTGCGTGGGAGAAGGGTGGCTAAAACGTTCACTGAATTCGCTATAGACCTGCAACCTGGAAACTGAAATTCCACGGGTGAAGCGCCCCTCCCCCTCCTACTCTGGACAGGTCGCCTGCCTAGTGACCCTCTTTTCATCCTCTGGCGAGAGCAGCCGAATGACCGGGTTTCCGTGGCGGAACAGAGTCCGCAGCTGCTGAATGAGACCCCCCTCCCCCAGTACTATCAGCAACCTGTCATCGCCTCCCTTTCCAGCTGGGAGCTGAGAAGGGGGGCTTTGGACTCCATGTCAATGCACAAAGAGAAACAGAACAAAAGCCCAGTCGCCCTTATTGCTCCCAGACTGCAACCCTTGGGGCAGTGTTCTCAGACCCGGATGCCCGCGTGTGGGTTAAGATGCCGTCCGGCGTGAGGCGCGGGAGCGGAAGGTCTGACCACATGCCTCACTCACGGGGTTCCAAGGACCTGGGGCCTCATCCCAAATTTATAATCCAGTTCCTGCAGACCGGAAACGTTGAGGTCGAAAGATCCCAGGGTCACACAGCAAGTGAAAGACAGAGCTCGGGCTGGAATCGGTCTTCTGGGTGCCCCAGCCCTCAGGGAAAGTGACCACGTCCAAGCCGAAAGGACTGTGGCTAGTATGAGCACCCGATCCTGGGGCTGGGGACGGAGCCCAGTGGGAAGAAAGCCACAGAGGGCCGCACCCACGCTATTAGCGCTTCATGGAGGCTGCCGGCGCCGAGGGGCAGCCCCCGAACGCAGCGTGGGAAGGGAGCATAGGGAGGAGGTGCAGGGTAACCGTGCAGGGTAATTGGAGCCCACTATCATTCTTTCTCACCTAAAGGTTTATTTTTTCAAATTCTGTTCAGAGCCAGATCGAGGAGTGCCTGGGTGAAACGGGCGATCAAGATTATGTGGATAAAAGGACCCTTTCCTCTCGCGGAAAGGCGTTTGGGATACGGTGAGGATGGAACTCTTCCCTATGAAAACCCGGATGCCCTGGGGGACTGGGCACTTTTCATTCAAGATCGGCTTTCTTTCATATGTTTTGCTTGTACTGCCCCCACCCCCACCCCACGCCGCACGCCACCCCCGCCCCTTATCGGGCATTCTCATTAATCGTTCTACGCCCCTCCCCAAATTTGGAATTATGATGCCGCACTTCTGTAAATTTTCACAAGAGCAGATTTTGTATCGAAAGCCTAGATGCTGATGACAGCTAGCCTTTCCCCGAAGTCTTTCAGTTTACTGGCTAACCCTTATTCTTATTCCGCATAGTTCCCCAAAATAGGCTGGTGAGGAGCTTTCAAAGAAAAAAAAAAGAGTCGTTTTCACCTGAGTCCTTCTGCATTTCTTTTTGTCTGTTTATTATACACAATTCCTCTCCATCTAGGTCATTGAATATCAGACATAAAGATGTCAGGACAATAGATTTTATCATCACTTACATGCTATTAATTTTAATGATGTACTACCATTTCAACATTTTCACTTCCTGAGACAGGAATAGCTCAGTGTAAAATAAACCTCAGCATTTGTTTTATGCATAACTGATGGTGTGGCTGAGGCAAGTACCACCTAAGCTATTAAAATTATATTTACTATCCCAGTTTTCGGAATGTGGTCAATGGCAGATTCTCATGTGATTTCGCATTTATTACACATAGTTATTGTTTTCATGACTTGAAGAAGCTTAGCATTGTTTTCATAAAGCGAGATATATATTTTTTACACACTTATTGAAATTACAAGACATCTACCTTTCAGATTTCCCCATTGCCTGCCGGTGTTCACCATTTAGTACACAACTCACAGCTCGGGTAGCCTGACACAGCCAGCTCTTGCAGTCAAGATGCACGCAGTTTCCTAGGCAACCGACACAGCCAATGAATGAAGAGGAACTGAAAGACTGCAAGCCCCATCATTATTTCCTATTTTACTCTTCTCAGTGCTCTCTGCTAGAAAGATTGGAGAGCTATGGATCCTAACATTTATGTAAATCCTCAGAGGATTGGGGCTAGGAGTGTTTTAGCCCTATACTATGAGTGTGGGGAGAGGATGCGGGCAGGGTGGTGGTTGTTCCTGGGATCCACAGAGACGTGCATTCTCAGCTTTGTCACTCCCCTGTTCATATCCCACTCTCTTTCCCTCTCTCAGATAAGAAGCCAGCTGCTACTGGCAGAGCTGCCCCTGTGCTCTCTAATGGAAGGGCCACCCAGGTGGGAAGCTCAGACCTCCGTCCTTCTGCAGTCGCAGGGCTCTGTGAGAACCAGCCCATCCAGGTAACAAAAGACAAGAACAAGCAGAGAAAATTCCAAGAAAGCAGAGCAGGGTAGGCACACTTACTTTGTTCCTCAGTAAGGCAGGCTGTTTTCCCATTGCCTGCATTTGATGTGGGGTTACCTGGCCTGAGTCCAGACTGAGATTGCTGTGCTTTCACTGAAGAGATTTGCATTCTTTGTCACACAGATTGGTAGAGGGAGTAGAGCCCTGGCTTTACAGAGCACCTTTCCCTTCTATGAGCAGCCTCCCCTCCCCCACACTCTCAGTGATTTGTGAGCTCCTTAGGCTGGGAAGGCAAGCCAGAGAATGCTTGCTTTGTAAGTCCTAAGTAAATGGGTTGCCTAGGATTACCTAGGTAATCATAAATGACATTTTATGATACAATTTAGATTGTGTAGAAAACAGAAACAGAAGAGTGGAGAAAATACTCTTAAATAAAACATAAAATACCACAACTAACAGGGTTCCCTTTCAAAGTGCAATCCCTGACATCAAGTTTATAAATAAATCCCTTATGAAATAAATGAATACACACAGGAAGATTTGATGGGGGAGCCATTTTAAGTTTCAGCAGCAGATTGCTACAGTATCGATGTCCTTGAAGGATTTCCACTCCGTGTTAGAGACTTTCACCAGCAACTGCTGCTCTTCAAAGTCTAGGCAGCTTGCCTTTTCTCTTCTAAATCTGCCCTAGGCCTTTGCTTGCCATTTAAATAAAATTAAAACATGCATATTGAGGCAGATACCCACAGATTCATATAGTTAACATATTTTATCTCTTGGATTTAGATGCCTAGTGGATGTTACCTATGTTTTCACAGCAGAAACAGGTTAGCTTCTGAACAGGAACTCTTGACATGCCCAGCCTGCTTTTGAATGGCTGCCACATATTTATACAGTTTTCCAGAAAATAATGCATTAAGAGAGCCCCTGAGAGACCTCGCCCCTAGAAAGGACACATTAAAAGATTTAGCTTCTTATTTACAAAATGGAAAGCAGTTTCAGACATATTTGTATAGTCATGTTTATAGCAGCATTATTCAATAGCTGAAAGGTAAAAGCAATCTAAGTGTGCATCAGTTGATGAGTGGATAAACAAAATGTGGTGTATACTTATAAGGAACAAAATTCAACCAAGTAAATTTGAAGATCTAATTGGCTTTATTAAGCAATTCATGAGTCAAGCAGCATCCCATCAGCAGCTAGAGGTGTGCTCTAAGGGGTTGTACAGAATGGAAGGATTTTATAGGAAGGGTGGTGAGTTGAGCGAGCTATTAACAAAAGAA